CTATCTATCTATCTATCTATCTATCTATCTATCTATCTATCTATCTATCTAGAAACAGAGTCTTACTATGTGTCCTTGGCTGACTGTAATTTGATGTTTAGACCAGGCTGGCCCCAGATTCATAGAGATCTGACTCCTGAGTGCTGAGATTAAAGGCATGGGCCACCACTCCTGGCAACAACTAGCTCCCCAAGGATGCCCCACAATTTTTTTTAATAGCATTAGTTTCAGTTAATTTTTTAAAATCCTGGCAACAATAAACTTTGAACACAAAAGTGCTTTTATGTCCTTAATTAGGTGGGCTTTCCATCTGTTGCCCCACGAATTTTGTCTTTGGTGTAGAACACTGTGTTCCGCACCTGCTCTCGGGGAGCCTCGAACTGTGTTTCTAGCAGGCGTGTGGAGTTTAACAGACATTCAAATGAACTGGTTTTTTGTTTTTTGTTTTTTTTTTTTTGGCTTTTTCCAGACAGAGTTTCTCTGTGTAGCCCTGGCTGTCCTGGAACTCACTCTGTAGACCAGGCTGGCGTCGAACTCAGAAATCCGCCTGCCTCTGCCTCCCAAGTGCTGGGATTAAAGGCGTGCGCCACCACTGCCCGGCAGAACTGGTTTTTTCTAACTCACTTTTTACTTTACATTTTTATTTATTTTCAAGATGTGTGTGCATGAGTACAGGCTCAGATTGCCACAGTGCGAACGCAGAGGTCAGCAGAAGGCTTGTACTAGTCACTTTTCTCCTTCCTCCCTGTGGGTTCTGGGGATTGAACTCAGGTTGTCAGGCTTGGTAGCAGGCTCCTTTACCCACACGACCGTCTCGATGGGCTCCTCCTTATCATTGACTGAGGAACGCTCAGCGACCACCGAACTCAGCGCGCACTCCTTCAGCTAGGCCGGCTAGTCAACCCCTCCCCCCATTCCATATCCCCCCTTCTTGCACACCCCTTTGGGGTTTCCCAGAACATTCCAAGCCTGATTCATGTTAGGAATGAATACCCCATGGCTGGCTCCCTCTCTCTGTCATGGCTCGCCTTCTCAGGTCAGCCTGCAGGAAAGGGCGTTTCCCGTCCGTCTGCTCCAGTGCTCCACGGTGCCTGCAGCATATGTTTGTTTAGAATTTGTCTCAGGAGAAGTCAGTTCTAAGAGGACAACTGAGACAGCACCAATCCAGGTCTAAAAGTTTATTCCACAGGGGGAAAGTGTCCATGGGACAGTTGTTGGGAATGTGAGTGAGAATTCTGGGAAGGACCCTGTGTCTGCAAAGACGACTGACTGGTTAGAGCTGAAGTGATTGCACTGGGTGCGCTTCCTGTGGACTTTGCCTTGATTTCCAGCACCCGCAGTACTAGCACATTAGGTCCAGGAGATCTGATGCCTCCTGCTGGCCTCCTCAGGCACTGCACGTAAGTGGTACACATCAAGCAGGCAAAACACCCATACACACACAGTTTGTAGGGGAAAAAAAAGTGGTAGTCCATATCTTTAGTTCCAGAACTCAGAAAGAGAGGCAGGTGGATATCTGTGAGTTTGAGCCTGGTCTACATAATGAGTTCCAATACACACAGGGGCTAGCTACACTGAAAGACCTTGCTTAAAATAATAAACAAACAAACAAACAAACAAATAAAAAAAGGAAGGGCTACAGTAAGGTGAAGAGACAGAATCTTTAGCCCTTAAACAGTGACCTTTGCCCAACTCTGTCAGAACCAACATCCTGTGACTAATAGATAAAAACTTTGGGAATCTATTAACTTAGAAGAGCACTAACTTCCACTGACCCAAAAGCTAAAAATGTCATCAGATCGCATATTGGCTTCCCCCATCTTGCTGTGACTGCATCTCTGATGTTTCCACTCATACATTTTAAACTTGCCTGGATTTGACTTTCTTTGACATGTTACTATAAATGTCATGAATCTGCTTCCATTGGGGACATGGGACCTGAGGTAACCTACCCCATGTTCCTTAGGCCACACTCACTCACTCAAATGCATATCACCTCTTCTCCTCCAGGTGAGAATTATGATTTTTTTCTTCTTCTGGAGACTCGAAGAAAACTTTCTTCCAGTGGCCAGGAGCTGACGAAGAGCTTGTCTTACAGATCAGGAGTCCCAGATGCAGGCCTCAGGAGTGGCAGGCAGGCAGACAGGAAAAGGGGAGGTTAGTCATGCTCTTTCTGGGATTAGTTGGAGGAGTTCCAGTCAGAAGGAATGCAACCTTCCAATCCTCTGATGGTCTGGAGGTCCAGCCATGCAGCTGGTAAGTGTCTTTAGCCTTGAAGGGCGAAGAGAGCAGATACTTATTGGACAAGTCTCAGTCAAGTTCCAGACAGGACACTGCTCAGGGATCAATAGGTCTAAAACTAAATAGAATCTGACCTAAAGGTAGAGGCAATGAAAGAAGCAGGCCAGATACTTAGCCAAGTCTGTTCATCTCTTCCACTTCACAGCAAGAAAGCATTTCTTTGAATCCCTGAAGACTGGCCTAGGCAACTATTGTCACCACAGTCCACACAGCAGACATGTTCACTACAACAAAGCTAATAAGAGGCTGATTACGTATTGCCTGGCTCTGAGATGTCCAAAATTAGTACTTAAAGATTACTTTTAGACTTGTTTACCTTATTTTTATATGTATGGGAGCTTTGCCTGAATATGCATATATGCACCGCATGCAGGACTGGCATTTGTTGAGGTCAGAAGAGGATGTCAGTTTCCCTGAAACTGGAGTTACGGATGGTTGTGCTGGAACTTGAACTAGGGTCTTCTACAAGACCAGTGGTTACAATAAGATGGGAGAAGCTTTTACACTGCGCCTTAATCTCAGGGTCATGGGTTCAAGCCTGATGTTGGGTGCCATTTATAGAAGTTTGGTCTGGTTCTTCCAGCCCAGTGCTCCTGGAAATAAGACTCAGATTCAAACTATATTTACAAATACCTTGGTGATATAGCGAGGCTCTTCTCTGTCTAGATCATAACTTAAAACAACCCAGTTATTCTAGCCTACACTCTGCCACATGGCTGGTTCCCTGTGCTCGGGTACCATGTGTCTGTCTCATCACATTTTCTTGGTCAAATCTTCTGTGCCTGGCTCTATCCCAGAATTCTTTCTGCCTCCCAGAGGTCTTACCTTCTACCCTTTTCTAGAGGCCATAGGTTTTGTTTTGTTTTGTTTTGTTTTTAGTTTTTTTTCCCCATTTCTATTATGTATATAAGTACAGTGTAGCTGTCTTCAGACACACCAGAAGACTGCATCAGATTCCATTACAAATAGTTGTGAGCCACCATGTGGTTGCTGAGAATTGAACTCAGCACCTCTGGAAGAGCAGTCAGTGCCCTTAACTGCTGAGCCATCTCTCTAGCCCCCAACCATAGGTCTTTTTAATCGAAAGGTGATGCATCCATACAATATACAAGGTTCTTTCTCTACATCATCCCTCCTGGTCTCCCACCCCCCAGTTAGTGATTTCTTAAGTCATCTGAAACAAAGTGAAACTGGAGATTTATTTGGTAACAAGAATTTCTCCTCCCCCACCCTCTTCTATTTGGTAACAAGGTCTTCTTCTTCTTCTTTTTCTTCTCCTCCCCTCTCCTCTCTTCTCCTCTTCCTCCTCTCCCTCCTCCTCCTGGCCTTCCTCCTCCTCCTCCTCCTCCTCCTCCTCCTCCTCCTCCTCTTTCTCCTTGTCCTCCCTTTTTTCCTGGCACAGGGTTTCTCTTTAGCCCTCACT